TGATCCAGATGACTCTCCGCCACGAGGATGGGGATGATGAAACCCAGCCGCCCCCGAGTGGACAAAAGGACCGGAGGAGGGCTAGTCTAGGAGGGACCAGTGAGAGACGAGGCCTGGAGAGGAGACGGAGCCGGAGACATTCCCTTCAGAACAGCAGAGATCATACCTCAGCTCCAGCTTCCCCAAAGAGTCCTCACGCTCAGTCCAGCCGCTTCCTGTCCGCTGGCGGTCAACGGGTCGAAGACATCAGTGAGAGGTGCGACAGGAGGGAGCAAAACAGAGGAAAAAGCACTAAAGTGTGTGTGTGTGTGTGTGTGTGTGTGTGTGTGTGTGTGTGTGTGTATGTGTGTTACCTCCGTTTTAAGCTTGTTCCGACTCTGAGTTACTGCGTCAGAACTCCGTCCAGAACCTACCCAGATAGGATGATTATTTAGTCGTTTACGGAATGAAAAAATGAGACTTTTACAAACGTTTGGGTACATTTTCCTCTCTAAAAGTCTCTCCTGCTGCTCATCCAGCAGGAGGAAACATCTGGAACCACAATATGAGCGATGTGCTCTGTTCCATGCCAAGCTTCGTTCATTAGTTCACCGACCTTAAACGACATGCTTCGTTTTTAAATCCGTGAACATTAGAAATAACTTCTTCCACGTTTGAAATGAGCCGCTCAGATTCAGACCTTCTATCTCATGACTGAGCTGCGTTAGCAGCGTCCAGGCAGCATACCTGCTGGTGCTGCTGGCAGACGCCGGGTCTTCAGGTTTACTAAATTCAATCCAGCAGGTCATCTGACACCAGCCGATCCTCTTCCAGCCTACCTCGGGAAATTCGAGCAACCTTTGAAGATCACTACTTTCCATATTGCTAATGAAACCCAGACAAGCCTACTCATACGTGATCGCTGCAGCCGCTCGACGAGCCTCCTGCTGAAGAACAGCTTATTAAATGAAATCTTAATAAACGTTCACACTACGTGATTCATGTGATCCTGCTAACACGGGTTTTGAGGCATGTTGTGGAAGTTTTAGACATCTTCTAACGTCCTTCGTGGTTCTTATGGACTAACACTTGCATGCATGTCTTGTGTGTCTCCTTCCTGGGACTGTCTCTCCTTTATCGTGTCACATTCCCTCTTCTCTTCTCCCCACCTACATCCTCCCTTTCCTCCTTCCAACCCTCAACCCCTCCTCTCACCACAGAGAAGAGGAAGAGGAAGAAGAAGAGGAGGATGAGGATGAGGAGGCAATTGATGAAAGTCACCCAGTCACTGAGCCTTCTAGGCAGGGCGTCCGCAGGTATCTGAGGCCAGCTGGCTTCCCCGCAGACTTGATCCCCGTTATTTTTTCTACTTGTCTCCAGTTCTCTCCTCCATTCTAAAGTTTGTTGATCCTTCTCATGTTCTCTGGACTTGTTGTATTTTGTCATCCTAGTGTGGCTCCAGATGTAGCAGACACTAGCATGTGTCTGAACTTTAAGTGTATGGCCAACATCCTCCCTAAAGCCCGAGACCCTGAAGGGCAGAGAGAGTTTCTCAGCACCGAGACAAGAGCATCTTCTCCTGTGTCCATCGCACCTAAAAAGAGGACCTTTAGTCCTTGGTGTGTTCCACCTGGCTGAATCCTCCCTAATAATCACACCCTTCCTCACCCCTTTTTCCTTTTCTTTCGTTACTTGAAGTGAAGGCATAATTCAGACCTCCCAGAGGGAAACATTTAGGAGCCTGTTGCACAAAGCTCTCTGAATGACCTCTGTTTGAAGAAATGAGTTTCATTCTGTAAGGATTGATAGGCTAACGCAGGGGTGCCCAGTCCTGGTCCTGTGGGGCCGGTATCCTGCAGGTTTTAGTTTTAACCCTGCTTCAACAAACCTGAATCCCTCTGGGATTAATAAAGTATCTTTGAATTGAATTTCCCTCAGCAGCTGATTAGCAGGCTTCTGCAGTGCCTGATGAGCTGCTGCACCGGCGACTCAACCACTGAATCAAGTGCGTTGGAGCAGAAAAACCACCAAACCTGCTGGATAGCGGCGCTCCAGGACCAGGATTGGGCACCCCTGCAGCTAAAGGCTAGTCCAAGCAGGGCTAGGAACATCGTGAATTACTGCTTTCTCTAAACAACTCCTAGCCTAGTGAACTAGACCAAATTCTTGCTTTGCAAAGAATGGTCTAGGCATGCTCCATTGGAACCTCAGCAGCTCCTACCAGGACTCTGGCTGGCCAATCACAGCTCTCTAGAGGGGTTTCAAACACATAAAGAGCTGTGATTGGTCCATAATGGTGGGCCAATCATAGTGCTCTATCTGCTTAGTGAACAAATCACAGAGCTTTATCCGCTTTGTGGGCCAATCAGGGCTCTCTATATGTCTGGTGGATGGGATGATGCAACAGAGTGAAACAAGAGTATGTCACATCTTTGTCCAGTGGAATGTGGAGATCATTTGAAAGACAACGGTAGAACCCGCCCCACAACCGAGAGCTGTCAATGGAGCGTGGCCAGACTAAATAATACATTTATTTAGACTGGCTTGCCAGGCTTAACAACTCCAGTTCAAGCAAACAATGTTTAAAAAGCAGCTGAAAACTCGTCTGTTCAGGTCGGCTTTCCCTCCACCTGTTCATCCTCCTCCTCCTCACTGGCTTCTTTTCATGCTGGTCTGTTTTGGCTGCCATTTACTTTTTTATTCTTATTTTTAATCTGAAATAGTTTTTTTTTTTTTACTTTTTGTTTAATTTTATTTGTATTATTTTCTTCCTTTAGAAACAACCAGTCACTACAGGAGGAACGCTACCGCGGATTTCTGTGTGAATAACCTTGTTAAGGTCAAAGTGGAAGCAAAGATTTACAGATTAAGGCTCATTTGAATTTATCAGCTATCTGAGCCTGGACTTGTTCGTGGGTGGCAGTGATCCACTTGTGTTTTGGCTTCTCACAGACTAGCAGTTAGCTAGTCAATCTGATCAGAACAAACCATTTTTTCTCCAAACTGAGGCTGTTCAAACGTGTGATTGTTAACCCTTTCACCCTAAAGGAGCTGAACTATCCCTTTAACCCAGTCAGGTGTTGATGAGCTGCTGTTGTAGTTTAGAAACTCTCCTTCACTAAAACTTTTTATCTAAATGAAACTTCATCAAACACAAACTTACAACACCGATATTTATTCTTACTCTGCACAGGTTTTTACTTTAAATCCCATCGTTTCATTTATCTTTTGCATCCATGAGTAGCTCTCTTTGACGATGGCGACTAGAGCCTTTCCAGCAGCTCAGGTCTTTAAAGCCACTTCAGTCGTGATGATCTCCATGTCTCTGTAGACATCAGCCGTGGTTCTGCAGACTCTCAGTAATGTGCAAAGGCTTTAGGTCAGGTGCTGTAAACAAAGAATGCTTTCAGAAATCTAAATATTGATTGTTTATTTTTACCAATTTACAAAATGCTAAGTGAGTGACCCCAACCACACAGCCAAAGTCATCTTCAGCGTCCTGGAAGTGGTGGTCTGGCCCCCACAGAGCCCTGATCTCAGCACCACGGAGAGGCAGAAGGATGCGAGGGAGCCTCAAAACGTTTGTGGTTAGTTCTCCATGATGTCTGGAACCACCCACCAGCCCGGGTCCTTCAACTGTGTTCACATGTTGCTGGAAGTGATCTGATGCTGTTTTGGAGGCAAAGGCTGGTCACACACCACATTTCTCTTTTCCTCATTCACTGCTTTTGTTTACTGATGAAACTAAATGATTGACACTTCCATTTTTCTATGGATTCTTTGTTTACAGCATCTTTTCACACCTGCCTAAAACTTTTGCACATTACTGCATTTTTCTTCTGTTTTGGTTTGAAATCTGTGAAATCTGAAGAGACGAGTACAAACCCAGGTCACTCCCTGTTGTCTGTGATCACTCAGAGCTCCTCCGTCTGTCTAACTGTGTTACTAACGTCTGACTGTTGTGTCTCTTTAAAGTCTGATTTCACCTTTTCTCTCGCTTCCACCTTTAGTCAAACAGAAACGACACCTCCTACATCTTACGCCACTAGAAAGCCCTGCTGGGCAGAAAGGTAAGACTAGGAGTCGATAGGGTCAGAGGTCACAGCAGCATTCAGGGAAGAGATATTCAGCCAGTCTGGTCTGTGGATCATTTCCAGCATGTCTTCTTCTGTTTGATTAGAAAAGAGAAATAGAAATATTCTTGTCCTTTAACAGAGTGAATGCTGGGGGGTCTCCGTTCCCTGGAAGGCTCTCGAGTTCAGCACCGTCCACACTGGACTCCAAACCCGACAGGTTGGCACAGCTCCTCCCCAGATTCCTTCATCCCGCTGAAGCTTAATTCTACTGATGTGGTTGTTGTTGACATTTTCTACAAGCAGACTGGTGTTTGGGAGCCTGCTGACATCGTCATACAGACAGCACCAGGAGTCGCTGGCTGCAGAACGAGAGAGGAGGCGGCTGGAGAGGGAAGAGCGTCTGCAGACGATCGAAAAAGAAGAGAGGGGTCGCCTCAAGTTAGTCTCTCGCTGTTTAGACAGAACACCGCGGCGCAGATGGACGTAAACCTCTGGGTTTGGTTTATGAGGACCGTTACGTCCCCGACAGGAGGTGTTAAAATGTGAAGGGGGGGTAACATAGGAATTGCGACAGTGGATTTAAAATGGGTTTAATTGTGATAAAAGGTTGTAAAAACAAATGCAAACAGATGGCGAGCATTATTAAAATAATGCAAAACGAAAATTTCATTATAAGGTTAACAGTTAAAATACAACTTATCAACTATATAAAACACCTGGTTAAAACTTTTGTTAAAGTTTTACCAAACAGAAGGTGTTTTAAAAACACAACAAAGTTGATAAAAGTGTAAAAACTAAAGCAGAGTTAACCTTAAAACAGAGTCAACTAAGCTGACATCAACCAAAGATCCCTTTGGATCACTCAGAGTTTAAACTATAAAAGTTAAAACTCTTCAACTTGAAGGGGTTGAAAACAAAATGAGGCCTGGAGGACAGCAGAACCCCTGCACTGCTGCCTCCTAGACTGCTGAAGGCACAGCCTTTTTATCCAGGTGTTGGTGATCAGCAGCCTGGAAGAGAGGAGGAGGGGCGGTGTCAGGCTGATCACCGGGGCTGGGTGATCCTGGCTCCTGCATCCCAATGGCCAGGCTGGTAGCCGTAACAAGGACCATTACGTCCACTGACTCATGACAGACGGACTCTGCAGAAGCACACATTTCTAATTATTAGCCCTTATTTACCATAAACCACAACATTTTATTAGATTGAAACTTACGTTTGTCTTTTGTGTAAACCCTCATCGTTTTGCCTGTCTCTCTGTTTCAGTCGAGAATACGTAGAGAAGAGGGAAGAAGTGAGACAGGCTCGAGAGGAAAGGTGATTTTTCTGTTTGTTTAACGCTGCTCCTGCTCTTTAAAACCATTTAACCAAAATGCTGCACGGCGCTGACGCGGATGTCGTTTGTCATCATTTGTAACAGGATTAGAACTCATTTTCCATCATTTTCCTGGAATGGGACATTTAATGTTTCCTGATAGGATCAAGGTTGAATAAGACTTTCATTCCTCCAACATGTCACCTCCGCTTAGCTTGATGTTTTCTTTCCAACTGTTTACTGGAAAGTTATTAAATGGGGTTTAGAAAATGAAACGCTAATTGAGGTAAACCATGTTTGGAGAAGACGTACCACAGAGACCACATGACTAGCCAGAGCTGTAGATCAGTGCCGACCTGAGTCATCTCTGTTATTGCAGGTACAAAGCCGCCGAGCGCTCAGCTGCAGAACAGTGTGAGCGGGAGCGTCCCAGAGCGCCAACTAGAGGTCGAACTGAGATCACGCTGTGCCTGAGCTCGACCCCGTCCAGCCGCTCTGCATCACGCTGCGTCACGCCTTTTTCTGGCGTCTCACAGGAAGACGCCGTCTCCGCGGCACTCCGGGTGTTGGGTAGGAAAATCTCACCAGATGTTTATCTGTGATCCTTAAAATAGTTCAAATTCAAAGTTTTGAAATCTTAAAAAATCCCAAATTAATGTATTTGGTAAATTGCCAAAAATAAACAAAACACTGATGGGTCATAAAGTCATTGAAGTTTGATTTTCACTCCCAGGAACAGAACGCTCCTCCGGTACAAGCCTCGGCCCCCAGGCCAGAACCAGAAGTCCAACACCAGAAGTATCAACATCAGCGCCTCCCTCTCCACCAGACGAGCCGCGGACCGAGAAGGAGCCTCCTGCGGAAAGGGACGGTACTAACGAGAGAGCCGCAGCACCGCCGGAGGAAGACTCAGGCCCAGAGACAGCAGAGACACAGGAGCAGCTAAAAGCCCCGGAGCGGGGTCCGAATGAAGGAGCTGACGTAGACGAGGCTGAAGATGTAGATGTGGAGTTAGAGGAGCAGAGTGAGATGGTGCAGCAGACAGGAAGGGACGTGGAAGACAGCGTACTGTTGAGTGCAAAGGAGAGACAGAACGAGGAAGTGAACGAAAAGGACAACTGCTCTGCATCCAGCATCTCTTCTACAAGCAGCACGCTGGAGCGGGAGGAGAAAACCCAAGTGGACGCAGGTACGGCTTGTCCATTCCCACGCTCCATAGCCACCTGTAGATGCTTCTCTCAGACTCGGATTTGTTTCTGTATCTGCAGCCCAGTGGACGATAAAAGAGGGTGACGTGAGCGAGCAGTGTGAGAAGATTCTGAACAACAAGCGCTTCATGCTGGACATGCTCTATGCTCAGAAGACAACCCCCGAGAAGGATGCAGGAGAACCGGAGAAGGAAACGTGTAAATGTGAGAAAGAGAGGGAGACGAGCGATTCTGTGAACAGCTTGGTCAGCAGGATCTCCACTCTGGAGGCAGACAGACAGGCCAGAGAGGAGAAGGCAATGAAAATGGAGTTGGGACACCTGGACAACCATGGCAGCGTTCGAGCCGTGGCAGAGAGGTTTGGAGATCTGGTGAAAGCTCTCACACCTCCGCCGGAGGGAGAGGCCTCCAAAGAGCACCAGCAGACCGACAAAGCATCAGCTGCTGCTTTAACCCCGAAGAAGGAGTCGGATCATATCTGGGATCAGCTGATGGCTGCGCCCCGGGAGCTACGCATCAAAGAAATGGACTTCACAGACCTGAAGGACGAAGACGACTTGGACATCCTAGATATGGATGGAGTGATGGGGTCCCCAACTCTACCATGCAGCTCTGCCCTCCCACCTCCCCCACCCCTGTTTGGGTGCCCCCCACCTCCTCCCCTCCTCAGCAAAATGATGCCCCCACCCCCTCCATTTATGGTTCCCGTTCCACCCCCCTCCCCCCAGCTGAGTCGAGAGGAGACACCTCTGTTCCAGAAGAAGAAGAAGACCATCCGTCTCTTCTGGAGCGAGGTGCGTCTTGTGGACTGGCAGTGTAAGAGTCACAAGTTCTGTAAGGAGACCCTGTGGTCCAAACTGGAGCCCATTAACCTGGACACGTCCAAACTGGAGCTGCTGTTTGAGACCAAGTCCAAGGAGCTGTCCGTCACAAAGGTAGGCATCGTTTTAGACACACAGAAGGTTTAGTGATGTCATAAACATCAGACATGTCCTCTCACCTACAGAGGATGTAATCTGACCCATACATCACACTTCCACCTAGAGGGGAGCCTCGACAAATCAGAACATCGTGCAGAAGTTTGTTTGCTTCAGTAATTCCACTTAGGCTGAGAGGCCTTTTAAAGAGCAAGTCACCCCCCAATCAACCACATGTTTGCTGATAAACTGTATAAAGCGTGTCTAATAGTGCCGTAGACGTGTGCTCTCGTTATTTAGGTACGTTGGTGCATCTTATTTCAAATGTTTAAATTCTGCCTAAATCCACCATTGTTGCGCCCTCTTCAGGTTCAAACCCAGCACTACACTGATTTTCAATCAGTCATCGCTGATGGCTAAAAGTACCCAGTACTGTTGCTGGCACCGTACGTGTGTGTGTGTGTGTGTGTCTGTGTGTGTGTGTGTGTGTGTGTGTGTGTGTGTGTGTGTGTGTGTGTGTGTGTGTGTGTGTGTGTGTGTGTGTGTGTGTGTGTGTGTGTGTGTGTGTGTGTGTGTGCGTATTAACGACTCGGGAACTAACGGGAACTGTGGGTGGAGTTAGACTCTAATAGGGCGTAGGCTTGGGCGGTATTACCGTGGACAGCCTGTGTTTAAAATAGCAACGATGTCAGTTCCAGTCCGGTCATATAAGGAACTGTGCATGTAGGACACAAGAATAAAAAAAAATGAAAATAAACTAGAAGCAGTTATCAAAGGTTTCCAAGCCAACCAGTGCAAGTCCCCCACACGGCCTCGCCCCTCCCACATGTTCTCCTGTCGGCATCCTGTCAGCTCACTTCAACCGGCACAATAAAACAAACACTCAGGAAGACCTTTTGACCCTTTTGCACCCCCTATACGTAAATCTTATATTATACAGATAGAGATGGCGGACATCTCCATCCTTATTATCATCCAGTATATTTAATCTTTAAAGGCCGTGGAGATTTAGTCACTTAAGCCAGGTGCTACCTAGCACATAGAATTAGGCACTGCATCATTTGCTAAGTATTTAATATTTCTGTGATTCTTGTATCAGATGTAGTTTTCTTTGTCCACAGATCAACACTTCATGTCTCGGATTGATTCAGCTAAAAAAGTGGTCACAAAAACCCAGTTTTGTGTTATTTGCGAGATACCAACAAATCTTGCTAAGCAAAAATGTGTGCAATAATGATCAAGTCATTTTGATGATGATGCCCAAAATTGATATAGTCATAAAAAAATGCTATATTATAAAATTATTGGAAAATTCTCAGGTCACCACAGATTCATGTGGAGTGCTATATATGCTTTATATTTACTACATTTCTAAAAAACAAAATACCTTCTACAAATTTGTTTTTTCCAGCATTACTGAAAAATTGACATAAATTCAAAACCTTCATGCTTTCTTACTAAAATTTCTAAATATTCCTAGATAGCTGTATGAGCATCTGCCCATATTTTTCAAAGGATCAAATATGTAAATCTTTTCTCAAGAAAAAATAATGTTTGTACGAGGCTTTGAATCGAAATGAGTCTCAATATTAAACACAAGGGGGCGCTGAAATCAGAACAACATTTTATGTGACTCACAAACCACCTAAAGGTAAACTGTGTGTCACATTTCAACAAGTTTAGCTTAATGGAATTCACGCTACAATTTTTCTAAATAGAAAGAGCAAAGTTCTGAGGTTTTCTTTATATTATCTCATTACTATGTAATTAACACAACCTGAGCACCTTAGCCTCCTACACGCAATTAATGATTTTTAGGAAATGTTTCATTTTTGAGATTTTTAACTATCATAAACCACGCTCACTTTGACCAGTAGTTACCATACTGACATTTTTCTTTCCCCCTTAAGGCTGTATAAGTGTCACACCCTGTCCTGTCTCTCCATGTGGTTCAGCCTGTGTCCCTGTTGATTGCTCCCACCTGCCTCTTGTTTCCCAATCACCCAAGCTCCCAGCCCTCCTGTATTTAAACCCCTCCAGTCCTTTGTCTCTTGTTGCTTCGTTGTTTCCATGTCCTGCGTGCGTGAATCATTAAACCCCTTTCAGTTGTCCAGTTTGTCTGCCTGCCTGCTTTCTCCCCTGCATTTGGATCCTCACCTCCGCTCCACTCACCAGCGCACCCTGACAGAATGAAGCAACCAGTTGAAGGACCCAGCGGGGAGATTCTCCCGAGGGAGTACCTGCTCCAGTGGCTCGCTCCAAGCCACCACCCGGCTTCTCCAGCTCCAGCTCCGCCTCGCCGCGGACGACGGCGCCAGCGTGCACCCTCGGCCTTCCTCTCCACCCTCCCAGTGCCTGATGAGAGACCGGATCGAGAGACGCGTTCGGATCACTCCAGTTACGTGGGCACCCGTCTGGCTGTGTGCTCCCCCGGCGTTGGTCCACGGCGTGGGGAGAGACGCCGGGCTGCCCCGCAGTCCTGTGTACCGGGATGGAGCTGTGTGCCCGCCGCTGCCCCTGCTCTGCGCAGCAGTTTGGACAAGCCCCCGGCCAGACCAGCAGTTCCGGCTCCGACCCAATCGGCGCCTCCGTCATCTGCTGAGGGAGGAGCGTTGGCCGCAGCCCAGGTGACTGAGCTCGTCAGTCTCCAGGCGGAGCTTGGCCGGTTCCGCCAGCTCATCAGCTTCCAGGAATCCCGCCTGGACGCTCTATCCTCCTCATCTCAGGACCAGACGAGCGAGCCCGGTGTTCACCCAGCGGAGCTCGCCGATCTCCGGGCTAAGCTGGCCCAGCTCCATTGGACCCTCAGCCTTAAGGAGCGTCAGCTGGACGGTCTGTCCTCCCTGCTTTCACCGTTCTCAGCACCACCTGCTCTGTCGCAGCCAGCTCCAGCAGTGGTCCCGGTGGACGCTCCGCATCCAGGTCCAGCGGAGGTCCCGGAGGTCGCACCGCATCTGGTCCAGCCTGGCCAGGCAGCTCCTCCTGCAGCAGCTCTGCCTCCAGCCCAGAAGCAGAAGGTTCGGGCCCCGAAGCAGACGGTTCCGGTTCCGGCCCAGAAGCAGAAGGTTCGGGCGTCGAAGCAGACGGTTCCGGCTCCGGCCCAGAAGCAGACGGTTCTGACCCCGAAGCAGATGGTTCTGGTTCCGGACCAAAAGTCGACGCCTCCGGACCCGAAGCCGACGCCCCCGGACCTGAAGTCGATGGAAGTCGAAGCCCGTTCCTGTCCTGAAGTCGACACCCGTTCCTGTCCTGAAGTCGACACCCGTTCCTGTCCTGAAGTCGACGCCCGTTCCTGTCCTGAAATCGACGCCCGTTCCTGTCCTGAAGTCGACGCCCGTGTCTGTCCTGAAGTCGACGCCCGTGTCTGTCCAGAAGTCGACGCCCGTGTCTGTCCAGAAGTCGACGCCCGTGTCTGTCCAGAAGTCGACGCCCATTCCTGTCCAGAAGTCGACGCCCGTTCCTGTCCAGAAGTCGACGCCCGTTCCTGTCCAGAAGTCGACGCCCGTTCCTGTCCAGAAGTCGACGCCCGTTCCTGTCCAGAAGTCGACGCCCCTGATGACGTCTCCTCTGAAGTCGGCTCGTCCGATGACGTCGCCGCCTCCCAAGTCTGCTCGTCCGACGACGTCGCCTCCCAAGTCTGCTCGTCCGACGACGTCGCCTCCCAAGTCTGCTCGTCCGACGACGTCGCCTCCCAAGTCTGCTCGTCCGACGACGTCGCCTCCCAAGTCTGCTCGTCCGACGACGTCGCCTCCCAAGTCTGCTCGTCCGACGACGTCGCCTCCCAAGTCTGCTCGTCTGACGACGTCGCCTCCCAAGTCTGCTCGTCCGACGACGTCGCCTCCCAAGTCTGCTCGTCTGACGACGTCGCCTCCCAAGTCTGCTCGTCTGACGACGTCGCCTCCCAAGTCGGCTCGTCTGAAGTCGTCTCGTCTGACGACGTCGCCTCTGAAGTCGGCTCGTCTGACGACGTCGCCTCTGAAGTCTGCTCGTCCGACGACGTCGCCTCCCAAGTCTGCTCGTCCGACGACGTCGCCTCCCAAGTCTGCTCGTCCGACGACGTCGCCTCCCAAGTCTGCTCGTCCGACGACGTCGCCTCCCAAGTCTGCTCGTCCGACGACGTCGCCTCCCAAGTCTGCTCGTCTGACGACGTCGCCTCCCAAGTCGGCTCGTCTGAAGTCGTCTCGTCTGACGACGTCGCCTCTGAAGTCGTCTCGTCTGACGACGTCGCCTCTGAAGTCGCCGCCTCTGAAGTCGGCTTGTCTGACGACGTCGCCTCTGAAGTCGGCTCGTCTGAAGTCGGCTCGTCTGACGACGTCGCCTCTGAAGTCGCCGCCTCTGAAGTCGGCTCGTCTGACGACGTCGCCTCTGAAGTCGCCGCCTCTGAAGTCGGCTCGTCTGACGACGTCGCCTCTGAAGTCGCCGCCTCTGAAGTCGGCTCGTCCGATGACATCGCCTCTGCAGTCGGCTCGTCCGATAACGTCACCTCCTCCTCCGAAGTCGGCTCGTCTGAAGTTGCCTCGTCTGAGGATGCTCTTTCCAGTCCAGAGGTCGACGCTCTCTCCTGTCCAGAGGTCGACGCTCTCTCCTGTCCAGAGGTCGACGCTCTCTCCTGTCCAGAGGTCGACGCTCTCTCCTGTCCAGAGGTCGACGCTCTCTCCTGTCCAGAAGTCGGCGCTCTCTCCTGTCCAGAGGTCGGCGCTCTCTCCTGTCCAGAGGTCGGCGCTCTCTCCTGTCCAGAGGTCGGCGCTCCCTCTAGTCCGACGTCTCCACCGTCTCCAGTGCCAACGGTGGTTCTGGAGGTCATACCGTATCCGGTCCAGCTCTTCTACGAGTCTCCGGTCCAGCCCGTCCAAGGGGCTTTGTCCCCGGCCCAGCCTGCAGAGACTATGTCCCCGGCCCAGCCTGCAGAGACTCTGTCCCTGCCCCAGTCTACAGAGCTCCTCTGCCATAGATGCCGGCCCCCAGGAGCCCGTCGTCGCCTCCTCCGCTGCCCCAGGCGCAGGCCCCCAAGAGCCCGTCGTCGCCTCCTCCTCTGCCCCAGGCGCAGGCCCCCAAGAGCCCGTCGTCGCCTCCTCCTCTGCCCCAGGCGCAGGCCCCCAAGAGCCCGTTGTCGCCTCCTCCTCTGCCCCAGGCGCAGGCCCCCAAGAGCCCGTCGTCGTTATTGCCTCCTCTGCCCTGGGTGCAGGCCCCCGGACTCTGCTGGTCCCTGCCTCCTGATCATCGGGCCCTCTGTCCCTCTCGGCCCTCCATCCGGGTCCCCCTCCTCCGGCCCTGTTCTGTGTTCCTGTGGGCTTCTGGAAGCTGCCCTTTGAGGGGGGGGGGTTACTGTCACACCCTGTCCTGTCTCTCCATGTGGTTCAGCCTGTGTCCCTGTTGATTGCTCCCACCTGCCTCTTGTTTCCCAATCACCCAAGCTCCCAGCCCTCCTGTATTTAAACCCCTCCAGTCCTTTGTCTCTTGTTGCTTCATTGATTCCATGTCCTGCGTGCGTGAATCATTAAAACCCTTTCAGTTGTCCAGTTTGTCTGCCTGCCTGCTTTCTCCCCTGCATTTGGATCCTCACCTCCGCTCCACTCACCAGCGCACCCTGACAATAAGGAAGACGTCCACAATGTTTTATGCAGCTCCATTATATACCACCCTCTATTGTAGGATCAAGTTGAAAACTGAGATATACTCTAGAATTGACCTTGGGTACTATTGATAGGAAGAGCTTTAAAAAAAAGTCATAATTTTATAAAGTTACACTAAAAAAACGTTTGCATTGAAAACATTTTTTGAAAGCTGATATTTCCTAAAGTAAATTAAATATTACAAAAACTTTCACAGTGTTTGTTCAGCTGCTTGTCCCCTCTTGCCAGGCAAAGTTTCGGTTTTATTGGGTTTGAGGGGTGGGAGGAGTTAATGAAAACATGTTTTACATATTATGCAATTTTCTACTAATTTGCAGAACAAAATTTTTGCTAAATATTCATCTAAATTTGATTGACTCGAGGAACATAAGAAAATTTGTTTCTAGGCTGAATAAATGGGGAGAAAATTGCCTAACACATTTTTGGGGTACACCAGCGCCACCTTTTGGACTAAATTCTTAATTTTTTCTCTGGTTGTAGATGACACTATTGTGGATATGAACTGTAAATTTCTGGATGGATTTTTTTTTCACGAGTGAAAGGGCTAAAACTTTAAGCTTATAAGCCACACCCACTTTTACGTATTTTTCTAAATATGGCTTAAGGGTGCTGTCATGAACATCTGTGCCAAGTTTTGTAGAAATCCATCAAGTCGTTATACTGAATCAGAATAGACCAGTTTCTATATTTCTGCAATTTTCTTCATCACAATTACAATTATCTTCACCTATAGATTTTACGTCCCGAGTTTCAAGTTGATTCGGCGAAAAATTACGGATTGGCAATTAAAACTAGGTTTTGTGTTTTTTGCGATTTAGCAAACCGCTAGTTAGGTGGAAATGGGCGGGGCCAATACAAAGAAGATGCTAAATTATCCCAGGATCAGGGACATGTAACATTTTTGAGTGTGTGACTTATGATCTGGGAGTTATTAGCCAAAACGCAACAGCGCCACCTAGGTGTTTGTGGGTATGACTTTTTTTTATAGCAGTAAGGATTTTCTATCCTGACACTTTCTGACTCTTGCGCCCGCGGAACATCATCAAGAAGAATAATAATGAAAAATCTTTTTTTTATGAAAAAGTTAAATAAAAGGTCATTTCATGTTTAAAATGGATGTGTGGCTGAATTTTCAGGTTAAGTTAAATAGTTTAAAATGTTTTATCAAAATTTTTGAGTTTATGAATGTGATGTCATCACGTGACAACGCGAAGACGGTGCGCCGAGAAAAAAATGGCAGCTCGCGCACCAGCTGACTTGGTGTCTAAAACAAACACAACTTCTGCAGTTTGGGTGTGTTTCGTGTTTGAAGCTAACTTAAATAAAGAGCCTGTAAACACTGATGAGGTCATTTGTGCAACAGAAAAATGACTGCGAAAGACGCACGCCCAGTCGTCCCAGTAGTAGTAGCTGAAGTAGCAGGCTTCTGTCTGGAGCTGTTAAGATACGACAGCGTGCTTTTCTGGTGGGAGCATGCAGCCAGCCTTCCCCCGATGTCGCGACTAGCCCCAAAGCACCCGCGAGTCTCTGCCACAAGCTCATCCAAGCAGGTTTCCAGCAGTCGGTCCAAAACGTCCTCTGTTGAAGCCTAAAAAGGTAAACATGCTGGTTTTTCAGGCAAAAAATCTTTTTATAAGCTGCAATTTTTTAAAAGTTGTTAATAGATTGTTGTTATTGTTTTGGTAATAGTGTTTGTTATTCAGCTTCTGAAAGGCGAAGGTCCAAACAAACAGTTTGGTAAGTCCTCTTGAGGCTTACGTCATTTTTAATTTAGTCCCGGTGACGCCTTACACCGTGGTTGGGGGGGTGACTTGCTCTTTAAAATCTCAGGAATCCTTTGCAGGTGACACTTTTAGCCTTGAATATTGAACCTATATCCTTCTCAGTGGCTAGTGGTAGAGTGCCCTGGGGTTGGGAGATCGGGGGTTCGAATCCCAGTCAGGTCATACCAAAGACTAAAAATGGGACCCAACGCCTCCCTGCTTGACACTCAGGTTCAAGCGGTTGGATTGGGGGGTTAAACCACCAGAGCGCAGCCACAGCTGCAGCTCACCGCTGCCCACGTGGATGGTGCGGAGATGAATTTCACCAGTTTATGACGACTAATGGGACTTTTTAACTTTTATTTGTCTGAGATTTAGAATGTTTGGTTTTTATAAGCTGTAAGCCACAATCACCACAATTATAACAAATTAAAGGCCTGAAATATCTGCCACAATACACAGTAGCACCGCCCAGCTCAACCGTTCTGTCTGCGGGACAGGACGGGCACAACAAGAGAGAGAATAAAACACATTCAGGCCCGGATTCATCTAGAATGTGCTGCACCTGCATTTGGACCTGATATCTGTTTCTTTTACATGTCGGATTCACAACACAAGGTGCAAGGATGTTACCGTTTTCTGTAGAACTGGAATGAAAAAGAATAATAAAAGAGTGAAATCAAATATGGATTCTGTTCCAGACTTCAGGACGTGCTCTGTGCCGTCTCTCCTAGCGGGCTGGCCTCAGCCGCAGCTCTCTGAAGAAAACTGACGCTAGGGTTGGAACTGCAGAACGAGGCCCAAACGACACTTTTATCCCTTTTTGTAGCTGAGAGTTTCTCATTTGAGGTTTGAGTTTTTTCCAACCACATTTTTTTTTTATTCTTCATAAATTTCAATTCTGATCAGCTTAAACTTTACGAAAATTTCATTTATTACAGACTGGAAACGAAGCTGCCAGGCTTTTCGTTAAAAGGAAAACAGCGTCTTAAACTGACTGGTTCCTTCCAGATAGTTTTATGTGGTCTGAAAATGGATTTGTAAAACACGTCCTCTGCATCTAATTTAGGTTTATTTACACAGTAAAATGGAGGAGACCCTTCATTTGTGTGCCTACTTTCAGTTTCTTCTCATAGCTGTGGATCTGAGTGCATGAATCATTTGTGTCAAGTGTATCCAAAGTGTTGTCATCAGCTGGTGTTTCCAGTAAATGAAGAGGCACGTGGTGGAGATCGCCCTTTGAGTTGGGTCGCCTCAACCTCATTCGTCAAGTGAAATATTACAGAACAAGAATAAATCAGCAGAACCTCTGTCCCGTCGACGTCTACATTCTTCTCCTGTAATAAAAGTGCAGCTGCACATGGGTTGAAAAACGGATAAGTAGGAACAGATTTAACTGTGTCAGGATGTGTGTGACGTCTTTGAGCCACGACACACACTCGCTTGTCTCTGTGTGTTTTACAGAAAGCTGCTGTCGATGGCAAACGATCAGAAATCATTGTCCTGGATTCAAAACGCAGCAACGCTATAAACATCGGACTGACGGTCTTACCTCCCCCCCGCACTATCAAAACGGCCATCCTTAACTTTGATGAGTATGCACTAAACAAAGAAGGCATTGAGGTAAGCTGTTGCATCCAGATGGGTATTCCCGCTCAGCTGACATGAACAAAGTCATCCTAAGTAGCACCGCTGTGCTCTCTCTGTGTATTAAGAGCTTGTTTCCATTTCATTCTAAAACGTATCAGCAGGTAACAGTTAATGCTGCATACTTCTGCTATTATATAACCCACAGTTATAGCTCCTGTCTCAGTTATGCACAGCAGGGAGCAGTTTTCCTATCCACTTTGTTTTTTCTCCTGAGGTTTTTGCAGCAGGACAACGAAAGCAGGGTGAAAAGTTCAGACAACGTTTTGAGACAAGCACAACTTCACATGTCACCTATCACCTCCCCTGACTCGTATCAACTGTGAGGAAACATCTGATACCGTTGGCGGGTGGCCTTCTAATCCGCACCTTCTCTCTCTTTTTTATTTCCTAGAAAATCCTCACAATGATCCCGACTGAGGAGGAGAAGCAGAAGATCCAGGAGGCTCAGCTGATGAACCCGGACGTTCCTCTGGGCAGCGCCGAGCAGTTCCTGCTCACCCTGTCCTCCATCACGGAGCTGTCGGCCCGTCTGCAGCTGTGGGCGTTCAGGATGGACTATGAGCTTGTCGAGAAGGTCAGACACGTTCCTGTCTGCTCTCGTCTCACCTACGTAACGACAGGCTCTGTTTTATGGACCGATGAGGGAGGGTGTGATTTGTTTCCGGTTCTTGTAGGAAGTGGCAGAACCTTTGCAGGACCTGAAGGAGGGAATGGACCAACTAGAGAAAAACAAGACACTCAAATGCATCTTGACCACACTGCTGGCGATTGGTAACTTCCTCAATGGATCAAATGTGAGTAAAAACTCAACAAAAAGCCTTTTTTGTGCCGTCTGACACGTTCATCTGACACCAGACTGCTAATGCTCTGCAGCACGCAGCCCTGCTGCAGTAACAAAACCTGGTTTCAGCTTCTGCAGAGTCTAGATCAGTCTGGTGAGGAAATGTGGGGGTGTGGGGGGGGGGGGGGGGGGGCGTCTGGGTGCTGGTGTGTGAGCTCGTGTTTCTGTGTTTTTTGTTCTCTGGATGAGGACATCCAAAAGGGGAAGCACAAGTCGTCAACATGGAAACAAGTCGTTTCCTGTAAATACGTGCAGCGTTTATATTTTTGCAGTAAGCCATTACGAGCTGGCCGAAGAACAAGGCAGGTCCCAGGATTGTGTCTTTCACGAGCCGCTTAGCTTCAGCGTGCTGAGAGGACTAATCAGCCGGGCCTGGGGCAGATCAGGGTTTTGATAAGAAATCTAATTAATCTAGATACCCCCCCCCCCCCCCCCCCCTTCCTTTTTGGGTCATCCTTGCCAGAAATGAAATTCAGAGCAAGTGGTCCAGATGAGTAATTCCTCTGAGCTGTTTCCGTCCACACTCTCACCGTGTTCCTGTGATTTCACGGTCCTGCAGGCCAAGGGCTTTCAGCTGACTTACTTGGAGAAAGTCCCAGAGGTGAAGGACACGGTCCATAAGCAGTCGCTGCTGCACCATGCCTGCTCCATCGTGGTGGAGAAGTTTCCAGAAAGCACCGATCTGTACTCAGAGATCGGCGCCATCACTCGACTGGCCAAGGTGAAACAGGCGCGGTCTTCCTGGTGGCGTTGTAAATGTCAGGAGCATCTAAACTGAAGCGTCTGGGGTTTGTTCTCAGGTGGACTTTGACCAGCTTCAGGACAGTCTGGCTCAGATGGAGCGAAGGTGCAAAGCATCATGGGATCACCTTAAAGTCATCGCTAAACATGAGATGAAACCAGCGCTGAAGCAGAAAATGTCCGACTTCCTCAAAGACTGTGCAGAGAGGATTATAATTCTCAAGATTGTTCATCGCAGGATTCTAAACCGGTTTGTTCGCTCACGAGATCAAAGCTCGTCCCCTCCTGTTTCTGATGTCTGTCCCCTGAAGTGTGCTTTATCGTTCCCACCTGCAGGTTTCACGCCTTTCTGTTGTTCCTCGGCCATCCGATATACGCGGTGCGTGAGGTCAGCATCCATCGCTTCAGTAAGATCCTGAGCGAGTTTGCCCTGGAGTATCGCACAACGAGGGAGCGCGTGCTGCAGCAGAAGCAGAAGAGGGCCAACCACAGAGAGAGAAACAAGACCCGGGGCAAAATGATAACAGATGTGAGAGAACTTCAGCTTCCACACATGCTCCTCTCCACCAATCCCCCGACAGCAGCTTTATCTGTAATCTGGTTAAAGCACGGACATGGGGGCCTGCAACATGACATCAGCACACTCCCACTGCACTCACATGTCTAAGTTACTGTAACAACAGTCAGCCAGTTGTTTAGAGGGCATCTGTAGCTGCAGCAGGCTGGAAAAGGCCAGGGCTAACACCTCCAACCCAGAGAGCCTGAAGGCTCCACGGTTCGGTCCTGACAGGAACCCCTCGGCTCCTCAGACAGACTCTAATTCAATCACTGTGTGAAAATTCAAACCTCTGGGTGTCCCTGAAGGAGAAATAACAGGTCACTCCATAGACACGTGCTCCTCTGCTCCAGAAAGGAGACACAGAAACTCACCATCACTGGATCTGAATCCATGACTTGTTTCTGATGTGTTGTGCTGACGTTACGTGTAGCCGTTACGTTTGCTTTACTCTGGTTTTATCAGTTAAATAAAATAACTCAAAAATACTTTTTTCCCTCCTGAAGATTAAGTTCTAATTGTTACAAGCATCACCCTAAAAGCACCCGGGTCTTACGTGAGGACTCGTCTCGTATCGGGTCTGTCATCCAGGTCAGGAGACCACAGCCGGTGGCTTGTTGGGCCTTCCACAAACGCTCATAACTTTGACGTGTTTTTAAACATAGATTTAATAAATGGAAACATTACATTGAATGTCCACAACACACTAAAAGAACCAGTAATATTTTAGATCTATTTGAGTTTTCCACAAATATCAGCATCCCACAGAAAAATACCATCTTTTCATTTTATTTTCTTATTTTAAAAACCTAATAATAGCAACAGCGTGGTGTTGGGTGAGGTTAGGACATGAAATAAAGGATTTCCCACTTTAGCTCAGAAAAATAAATCCAGATTTTAATCTCAGGGTTCTGAATTTTTCTCAGAATTTTGAGAAAAAAGGGATTTTTTCAGCGGCCCACATCCTAATCGTCTTCTGTAGACATGACCTGGACATGTGAGTGGTTTCAGCAGGTCCTGTAGTTACAGCGCTGAAGCTCTACTCCGGTGCATTTGGTTGTAAAAGTTGCACACACCAGTCATCCAGTCTTTGACCCTGTCATTCTGTTCCTGTAGAGCGAGGAAGACGATGATAGCGAGGTAGGTGCATACCTGCGTGTGACCTCTTGTGTGACTAACCTTTAACCCCGTGATGCTGAGGATTCTCAGTTAAACGTCTTTGACCCAATAGGAATCTGACATGCTGTGTGAATTTGATCTGGAGAATGATTATTGGTGGAAGTGCTTGAAGCAAGAGACAGTATGATGAGAGGATGATGAGTGCGGTGTTTTTTGCCCCCCCCCCCCCCCCCCCCCCCCCCAACAGAGTGGTAAATTTGGTGCTGCCCCATCAGACGCCCAGGAGAGCCAACCTCAGGGGATGCAGGACGCTGAAGACGCAGCTGAGCACGAGAACATGAAGGCCGTGTTGAAAAGCAACCTGCCGGACGGAGAGAGCAACACATCAGCGGTGCCGGGTCTCCGAACCCGAACCAGAGCCAGAGCCGGCGCCATCAGAGGTTGGTCTCATCAGCGTGGCTTTTACACGGCTGTTCGTCACCTTCAGCTTCGTTGTCCGTTAACTTTTCTGATGCCAGAAAGTTTATCGCTTCATTTCAGGAAAATGTTTAGTCTAAATGTTTAGAGGATTAAGATCAGCATTTTGGTCCCTCAGTCACAAGCTGAGCTGTTTTCATTAAACGTATTCCCTCACTTTGGCCCACTTCCTGCAGGACGTCTCGGCCCGTGGTCCTCTGCCACTGACGACCCAGTAACCTGCACAGACGACACAGCTGATGAGATCATGGAGCGGATCGTGCGGTCAGCCACTCAGGGCCCCTGTCAGCGGACGCAGCCTCGGGAGCGCAGGCGATCCAGAGCCAACAGGAAGTCACGTGAGTCCTTCGTCCCCGTTTATCATGGCGCTGCATGAGAGAAGCACCTCTTCACCGTCCTCCTCCGCCCCACAGTGAGAAGAACCCTGAAGAGCGGCCTGACAACAGAGGAGGCAAATGCTCTCGGCTTGTCCAGCGGTTCTGAGATGCAGGTGTGATCTGGACCGGGTTCCTGCTGGACATGAGGACACCTGTAGGACCCTTCACAGCCCCCCCCCCCCCCCCCCCCCCCCCCCCCTCCTCCAAACCACTAAGCTTTGCTTCCTCTGACTGAACACATATGAACTGCCTTTGCAAAGCTTCAATTACAATTGTCCCTGAAACATGAAAAATGCACAAGAATCACTGAAATTTGGGGGGGGGGGGGGGGGGCATGCATCCTGTGAAACCTGTGGCCTTGCCTGGACCCAGAGAACCAGAACCACGGTCCAGACCTGAAGCCTCACTAGGACTCACCATCTGGCCCTGCAGCTTCAAGCTGAGCGGAAGGACGTTGCATCTTTTGAATAGATGTCTGGTTCTGTTTAGTACTACTGGGTCGATCGGTTTCATGTTGCTCTACCAGGTGCTAAAACGAGGAACAATTGCACTGGACGTAAAGCGCTGGGCATCTATGGGAAGTGAGATGGTTGACACCGATGAAACCACTCATGACACCTGGCGCCGTAAAGCAGCTGTTCACCAGCAGCACAGAACTTTACACGACTGATCGAAGCTGGAACGAAGGACTCCTCCACTTTTACAGTGTAATGTTTTACGTTTGTAGGGAGACGTAAATATCAGTGTTGCTTCCTCTGATCCGTTCTGGCGTTAGAAGCAGGAACCGCTCAGAGGCAGGCGGGCGCAGACTAACCTTTACAGTTTATTTGTAGAGTCTATGAGCTGCACGTGTCAGTGCCTTGAAGAGGTGGTCAGTTATTTATTAAGAGGTTTTCAGGGACTTGTAATCACAACTCGTTACTGCAGGTGTGTGACCTGCGAAGGGATATATGTGTGTTTTTCCTCTCCTTCATGTTCCAGACGATACTGTAGCTCAGAGAGAACAGCTCACCGGTCCTACTGTACAGGCAGTGGTGGTTATGGGATGTAGGAATGGGACTCGGTAGAACATCACCGGGTCCTTTTTCTCATTCTAAAGCTACATTCATGTTCAGAAGTCCTGAGCCATGACACCCCTGACTTGGACGACTGATATGACTTTCTAGTCATTTCTAAATGTTTTTAAACTTTTTGTTTCTACTCGTTTTCAGCCTGGTGGTCATATAGTCGGATGTTACGTCGTGCAACGGACCAGTGACTCGTTTAGGAATAAAAACACACGTCTGAGGAGATGAGCCACATTTAACATCTCAGGATAACCATGAGTTGTTCCTATTGATCAAAAAACAGTTTACTTCATTTAGCCGAACAGGAAGTCCGTTAAACTGTTTGTTAACCAAAATGACTCCTAAAGAGCGTTTGGCTGAAACCGTTGTACTTTGATACTCTGTAAATTATTTATTTGGAAGTTTAAAGAAAGTGGAAAAAGTGAAGATAATGTATTTAAACATAAACAGGCCTTTAAACTGATTTACCACCGAGGAAGAATTTTTCCCAGAATGACTGATCCGAGACAAACCCACAATCTCTGCACGCCTTTGCTGGTCCGGGACCCACTTGAGCACAACTGAATCGTTTCAAATCCTTTAGTAGCGGAGGTGATCTGTTGAGCTTTAGGTTTTCTGGAGGAGTTTGTGTATCAGTTGTTCTGTTCTGCCCCACAGAGCCTTCCATGTGAACATAACAGTGGCTCAAGACTTTTGCACAGCACTGTAAACATTTAGGTGACCGAAGTTGTGATTGTTAAAATTATGTACATCGTATTAAGGTGACTCGACCTGAGCCGGTTACCGTTTTGATCAGTAATGTCTTTTCTCCAACCATCTATGGGCGCGCGCGCACACACACACACACACACACACGCTTCAGACCATTCTAGAGGCCTTGACTGAGTTTCTAACGTTCATATTTTGAGTCTGATCAAAGATTAAATTACAAAGTTTCACTGTGACGGATTTGCAGCCACTGAGAGAAACCGTGAAGACGAACATCACAAGGCACCAGCACAACAATCTGTAGTTTACTGGAAACGTTTCAGCACCTTAGACTCACACTTGCAGAATCCCGCTGAGGAGAACCGAAGGAACCCGGCCCGTCTGAATAAGGAAACACGCGGTGGAAGTAATTAGGGGAATGCTGTATGATGGTGTACAACTTCTTTGTGTTTTGTTTTTCCATGTGGGAGTGTGATGATTAAAAACAGTGTTATTCTAAATGTAATTTAAGAAAACGCAGCCATGCATGGTTTTAAAGGTGAGACGCTGACTTTGGCTTTCGTGCACTTTGCTAAATCTTTTCTACGTCATCCTAAAACAAGCGTAGTCGAACCTGCGGTGATTACATTTACCAGCAACTTCCTTTCAAACTGCTGCCTGTGCCATGTCACTGGAACTTAAGTGCTATAAAACCGAGGCTTCCATCACGTCTACGCCCACAGCAACAACTATGTAACAGTCATAATAAAAGGCTCATTCAAACACTTTTGGGACCGACTTTTAATCATCCTTCAGTTTGTGTTATTCTGGCAAAAAAAAGTGACATTTTCATCTGGGAGGAAAAAGAACAAGTGACACTTCTGGAGAAGAAAAAGCAAGCAAAACTTAAGCTTCTTTATTCTTTCAGTCCACAAAACCCCTTGCTTCAAGTCACTTCATATTCAAGAGCATAGACGACAAGCACACCAATACGTTCACGTAGCGTTTCCATGTGGCTATCATACAAACCCAACTGGTCTCCATTAAAAAGATGTCCTGCTGGTCCGGATCTAAGTGATTACGGTTGCTTTTAATAACAGCGAAAACCTCACGGTGAAGAAGAAGAAGTTAGTTTTAAAACAGGATGAAGAGGGAGCAAAAACAAATGAGTGAGAAAAAGTGAGCTGAAGCGGTCTCAGCAAATCCAGCGCAACCCAAGACACATTCTGCTTCATCCCCACTGAAAACGACCAACAAGGACACACCAGAAGCTGGTCTGTATTTCCTGATCATCAGTCAAACGGGTTCCATGTGCGCGTCCCCTGAACCTTTGCAGAGTACCTAGCTGAATAGTCAAATTACAGAAACGGAGTCTTCCCTTTCCACTGGACATGCTTTCCTTTGCTGAACCCCTGAATAACTGACAGGCTTACGCACTTCTCATCTAATATTGCTACATTTTGAACAAAGGAATTCTTCGTTTTGTTTGCATATTCTTAGGTTTGCCGTTTGGTTTGCACCGTCACCAATAGTCAAATTTTCTCTGAAATAGCACCACGAGACACCCCCGGGCCACTCAGAGGCCCGGGGTTTACCTAAGAGTGTATCTGGAAACAGAACATCACAAGTGTCACATACAGTCTGGCCAGAAACATAAGTGTTGATATTTATTTGTTTTAGGGAAAGGATGTAAACACCAACCATAATAGCGCGGCACGTAAAGCTGATCCTCAACCAGCACAGAAAAGCAGGGCTGGGAATTTAGACCTGTCGTGTATGTCTGGGGGGGGGGGTCACCGCTCTGCTGCAGCTCCCGCTCGCTGTCCGGTACAAGAATGCACTTTTAGATCTAGCTTTAATGACCGTTTATTTAGAAACAAAACTGCAACTTTACTGCATGCTCACAATTCGGGACACCCTTTGCATTAAGAAGGGATGAGTTTAGGTGTTTAAAAAGTCCGTAGAAAATAGAGTACCCAAATTATAGCTTTTGTGAGACAGATATGTAAATGTTTGTTTTTAAAAATAATTATGTTATCAGTTACGACAGCATATAGCACCAGCTTATGGGTCATGCCACGCCTTGGGTTTGGTCTAAAGAGCTGATCTGTGCTGCACTGAAATGTAACGCAGACAGCAGTGAGACAAACTGACGAATCTTACAAGAACTTAAAGTGCCACTCCAGTCCCACGCTCACTTCCCAGACTCCAGCCATCTACACCACAGTACGAGCTTCCTATCTAAGACAGTTGATGGGGAGCTTCCAGCATTTCCATGAGGAACGTGTCAATTGGCGTGTCACCGATCAGTTTGAAGAAAAAGAGATGCTCCAAGCACTTCAAGCCTATGGATCGCAGCGCCGGCAACCGAAGGAGAAGCTTAGCAAACCTGCAGAAAAACAACAGAGTGTTACTTGTCTCACCCAGATAAATTCATCTGTCTCCCATTAGCTCAGCATCACAGTCAGACTTCACCTGCCCTGCTGCTCTGGATACTTCTGCTTGCAGTAAGACTCCAGTGATGCATAGACCTTTTCTCTGAGGAGCTCCACCTCGGTTGTGCTGGAGAGCCCTTTAGCATCTGGTGGCACAGTCAGAAAAGGGGTTCTGATTAGAGGCTACACACCAAGCTGTGCATCCAAGATGAACGACTGAAAGATGCTACCTGGGTTAAACAGGACGATAGCACGGAGACAACCCAGCTCTGTTTTGTCCATTTGCATATCTCTCATTTTGTTAACAAGCTCAGTGAGAACCCTGTTTTTGACAAAGTATTTCATAATGAATGTACACAAATGTTAACTTCAAACACACGTCATACAGCTAAACTGCAACAATACCTGTCAAATATGGCCCCGACTTCTGCACTCTGCACACTCTCCCTGCAATAACATCATTCCAAAAGCAGAATAAACAAACACCCAGGATTAAAAAAGCTCTCACTTTCATTTCCAATGCAACTCTAGATGAAAACCAGGGTGGTCCAACATTATTCTTCCTTTATTTTGGCAAAAGCAGCTAACATTGTGAAATTGAATTAAAAATACAGCAGAAATGTGTATTTTATTATCTCACCTATCAAAAATGGCTCCAACTCCTGCCATGTGTGCACTGTCACGCTGCAGCTCGGACGCCAAGAGGGCTCCGTCCTTCAGAGGAATCGAGCGGTGGGAGAACGAAGCAATCAGGAGCTCGTTCCACCCTGAGAAAACAAACACACACTCATGTGAGAAGTTAAAACTTCTTTCTTTATGATGGGATCTGTTCAAAACTGACAGAAGGTTGGAATGAAAGCAGCCGAGACCAGATCTACAGAATCATTAGAGCGATGTCGGAGAGGAACACCCCCTATGTAGCTGTTTGATTCTGCACAGAGAGCTAGTCTGGTAGCTCACAGGCAGGCATGTGAGGGGCGGGACTAGCCAGCTCAAACACGACCAATCAGAAAGCAGGTGGAAATGCCGACTGTACCGCTGTAGCGGTTTAGCTGTAGTCATAAACGGCGTCTGGCGACGGCGCAAAACTCTTTCTTTAGAATAAAGGCTTTTAGCGGTTCTACTTGTGGTTTTAAAGACGTGTCCAAGTCATTTAGAGCAGAGGAAAGAGCCGCAGCCAACTGCTTCAGGCGCCATCTTCGTTGTTTATGACAAACTGAGCGTTGTGATGTGTGACGTACGCTGCTCAGTGCTGATTGGCTCGGTTAGAATCCTCAGGGGGCGGGGTTATAGTCAGGCTAGTGACTAGAGATGCACTGAAAATTCAGACACCAAACGTTTCTGGCCATAAATGATCCAAAAGTGCTTTTTCGGTTTCCGGTCGGAAAAACCTAAATGGCAGAAACAACAAGGACAAAACAGACCGTTTTAGCTTCATCCCTCATAAGGCAACTTGCTCTTTGCTTCATAGAAATCATTCATACGTACCGATTTCAAAAGCCAGGTTTGGCCTTTTAGTAATGCTGTTTTATTACAAACGCTGGAATATCAAATACGTGACGCATTTTTACTTTCACATTTGCCGCCCGGCGTTTGTTCTCTCTACATTCCCGCTACGTTTGTCACCATTAGCGGTGCTTTTATCATCCTTTCTACACCCACCATGTCCTGAACGCGGTGAAAGAAGCTTTGGATCATGTGTGTGAAGCGTGTTTACTCCCATGAGGCACACGGACTCTGTTGCTGCTGGACGAGAGAAAATCTTCACCAGAGGTGAATATTCCTCTTCAGAATCAGAGTAATCCATTAGCAGACAAAGAGCTTTGTCAACAAAGGACAGACCTGTCAGCAGATTCTGCTCTAATGCATCATATTCACCCTCAGTGAGCTCCGCTCACCTCCTCTCCTCAGTCGGGTTTTTAAGCTCCAAAGACTCCAAAAGTTTCAACAGAAACACCCAAAAGTGTTGCTCAGACTGAAGTTACACATTTCCACGATCATCTGGTGTAAAGTAAAAACTTTATATTGGGCTCGTTAAACGCAATATTGTGACTTTGGCACTAGTGTTCATTTTACAGTCCTGCTAATGCTTTGGTTCCAATCACTAACGTAATAATAACTTTCGGTGTTTCGGTTTTGGGCCTCGGTTTCCTCATTTTTGGTTTTGGCCAAGAACCTTCATTTTGGTGCATCGCTAGGTGTGACACATCAGGTTTGTTACCTGAGGCTAAGGCTACGTTCACACTACAGGCAAAAGCGCCTCAAATCTGAGTTTCTTCCCCACATGCAACCCATATCTGATGTTGTTATGAAAGTCTGAACAGCACAGATCCAAATTTTTGTAATCTGATCCATGTCACTTTCATATGCGGTACTGATTCTGATACATATCTGATGTTTATGAAAGTGGTCTGAACGGTCACGTCGCATTACACCAGTCTCCTACGTCACTGAGTCAGCGGAGGTGAGCGTCGTGTGTCGGTGCTCCTGAGGAGAAGCGCTGACACACGGATTCGGTTTTGGAATTAAAAACACAGGACAGCCAGAGAACAGGAGCGGGAGGGGCCAAGCATCTCACTGGTATCAGTCTCCGTGAAGGGAGGGGTGGGGGTCTCTGTGAGAGCGGGGGGGTCTCCGTGAATGAACGTAATACCGAAAATTTTCGGTGAAAAATAATTGGGGAAGATGGCGGGAATAAGGAGTAAAATGGTTTCGTTTTCCAGCTGAAAACCAGAATTAACAGGTGTGAGCCCGATCCTGTGGATGAACCGTCAGTGAAGGCTTCACATCACAACTCCACCTCTCCTGAGTGTGACTTCTTGTGCATGCTGGTCACTTTGGGGCGATAACGCGTTCACACTGGAGAAAGTTTAATGTTGTATTTCAGTCATAACGTGAAGAACCACACAAATAAAACTGGATTTACTCAAAAAACCTGGGTTTGAGCATCGTGGCCTGCAGTGTGAACGTGGCCTAACACCCAAATTCCACTACCTCCGCTCCGCTGCGGTCCGCCCCCGCCTTCCGCAGCCGCTCGCTTCCGAACTCAATTTTTCTTGGTACCCGCTCTACAACGGCTCCGCTCCGGTGCGGAGACCTGAGGTGGGCAAACAAGCATGCGCGGGATTTTCAAGATCTTGCGATACAGTCCGAGCAATAAACGCGGAAGTTAGATCCAAACACCCGTTGTGTGGGAGAAGCATCGGCATGAACTGTTTAATCTGCCCATCATTGTGTTGAGAGATCAGCAGTGTTTGGATCAACAAAGTGTGACTACTTTGATAGTGGAAACTGTATTTATGGCTTAATTTTGTGCATTTAAACTTCAGCCGCCATTGATAGTTGTTAAAAGTTGTTAAACCTGTGCATATGAAACAAAAAACGCCTTTTGTTTATCGATGTATTGTGAAATACGGAAATTGTGCTTGCTCCTTTTCCTGTTGGGCCGTTGTGATTTCTGTCCATTTACTGCGGAGGTGCTCCGGCGTCCGGCAAAAATAGGATCGATTCTATTTTTGCCGGACGCAGGAACAGAGGGCGGCGCACGGCCGGAGCACGGCCGCAGTAGTGGAATTGCTCTGATTGACTAGAACGGGACCGATTTTGCTCCGGCGTTCGTGTCGGAGCGGAGCGGAGGTAGTGGAATTTGGGGGTAAGAGCTCCTGTGAAGACGCGTAGAAACAGATGCTCTGTGGGCATGCAGACCCTTCACACGTTGGTTCCTACCTGCACGCAGAAGGATGACTTGATCATCTAGAGGCAGTTCAGAAAAATGAGGGATTCTCTTTGCCCACTCGACCAGAGCAAACAGCTGTTTGTCTGCAGTCTGACAGATGTTGGACACAGCATCATGGGGCTAAACCAAAGAAGGAAACACATCATGACTTCCTGATAACACAAAAAGATTTTAAAAACATATTTCAAAGCTCTATCAAGTCATTTTTGTACTCCGGACATCCATGCTCCTAACACTCACAGAGTTTCCTGCTGAACCTCCATCGGAGTGGAGTTCAGTCCTCATGTCCACAGCCGTCTCCGCCTCCAGGATCTTCTCCACGGGCATCTCGTCGTTTACGGCTCCACTGAACTCCAGCTCCCCTTCACGCTCTCGGTTCCTTTGGCGCTCCTCCTGGACCGCTGCAACACATAAAGCACGAAAGATACAGAACAGAATTTTAGATTGATGCTAGAGTCAAACGTTTTCTGTACCGAAAGCTTTACGTCTAACTTTGCTTCTGAAGAAGTTTGGTGATCTGTGGAAGTTTTTTTAAATCGAGGATTGAGAGTGTAAAAACTTCAGATGTCAGATTAATATAATCTAGAATGAACCGACATGTTCACTATGTTTTGTTTCCAATACATTTAAACTGGTCTCTGGTATAAATGGAGGCCTTGCAAGGGAAAAAGCTCTCCTGTTTCAGGAGGTAGAAGGTAGTTTGGTGAGAGGGGAGCAGAAGGCCTCAGGATTCTCAGACATCTCACCTCTGATTGGCCAACAGCGACGTGACTCTACAACTGACTCCGTTTGCTCTGCAATGTTGATGTTACGTCTTCACAAATAACACAAGCCTGGAACAGTCCTGCTGTGTTGTGGAGTTGCTAATGCTAACAGTTAGCTTCTAGACACGAGGCATGTTTCCACTATTGGAACTTCAGGGTAAATTTACCAGAACTTCCCAGCATGCGTGCGCCTCCACTTCGCCGGGTCGGCTGAACGGGCTGTTTTCCAGAACCTCTGGCGTACCTGAACAGGGGTAGGTTCTCAGTATGGCCTGGTTGAGAAGCTGAGCAGAACCTCTGGTTAGCTCTCTCTGATTGGTTGTAACTCAGTAGGAAATGACATCAGAAGACATCGTCCAAAAATCGATGGCGTTGCTTTAAAATTGCCTTTACTAAACTCCCAACACCGAGAAACTGAATTCGCCCCACAACAACGTCATTCAACGGGCTTTAGTGGCTCACAGAGCGCTGCAAAAGGTCTTCCGTTCACTGGACGCCACATCATGCAGCTGCGCTCATCCTCTGGATGGATTATGGTGCCGTACTTCAACAGGATCAAACTTTTAGTGGTATTAATATTAGTGTGGATGCTTTTTGGTGCTGATCAGTGACATCAGTCATTGCTGAACCAATAACGATACGCTGACATCTGTGCCAACTAGGGCTGCAGCTACCGAATATTTTTGTAATAGAGTACTCTATTGAATCTTTATCGATTAATAAAGTTCTCTAATAAATGACCCTTTTGTGTTTGTAAACCATTATATCAACAAGCATGTTATAAAATATGAAAGACCTGTCGGCACTTCAACTGTACTTCACAGTAAACAACCTGAGCCGATTTTCCACTCCTGCGAGAATCTACTAGCCTGGCAACTAGGAGGATAATTGCTGAAGAAGCGCTGCAAGCGGCTGCGGTCCAAACAGCACCAGAACCGCTCACGGTGCATGCGCAAACATGGCTCGCCAGCCATTTCCCTATTAACACACGTCCGTTTTAATCTCTACACTTTCTCTTCACACACAATAACAAGGATTGTCGAGAAAGCATGTTTGCTGTGGTTGTGTCAAATTATACTGATCACAGAACATTTATTTACTTTCTTTCGTTTTCCTCACATAAGTACCTGCCTTCGGCTTTCAAAGCTGATGTGTGGAGTTATTTTGGATTCAAGACAAAAGAAGGCAGTAATGACTTTGACAAGAGCCATGCAATCTGCAAACTCTGCAGCGCCGGGCTCAAATACTGTGGTAATACGACAAATCTGCGAGAACACATGGCCAGACACCATAGCGATGTAGCATCAAATGCTACGCTTAAAACGAAGCTCGGTGATGGACTACAGAGGAAGTTAACACTTCAAAACTACCAGCGACTTCAACTCGTGCAGTCAAGATAACAAAATCAGTTCATGTTTTTATTTGCAGAGACATGCGACCCCTGAGTGTTGTGGAGAATAAAGGATTTCGTAATATGATTAAAACGTTGGAGCCGCGTTACGCCGTTCCTTCACGACAACACATCACGGACATCGCTCTTCCAAACTTGTACAACGAAGCCAAAGCAACAGTCCTGGACTCTCTCGGCTCAGCAGAGACGGTCGCTTTAACGTGCGATGCTTGGACGTCTAGAGCTACTGAATCGTACGTTACTCTTACAGCACATCACATAAATGACGAGTGGATCCTTCAGTCTCATGTATCACAAACCCAAGCCATGCATGAAACTCACACAGGTGAACACATTGCAGCATTACTGAAGGAGACCGTGACTGAATGGTGGTTGAACACAAAGAAAGTCGTTATTGTAACAAACATGGCTGTCGCGGCCAGACTCGCAGGCATGACGCACATACAATGTTTTGCACACAGTCTGAATCTTGCCTCCCAGAAAGCACTAAAAACAATCTGTGATTCGACTTCTGGGGAGAGTCAGACGTGTAACAGGCTTTTTTCAGACGCAGCACCACAGCCAGCGATCAGTTGAAGCAGAAACAGCGCCTCCTTCAGTTAGCAGCTCACAGACTGACCACGGACATAATGACCAGATGGAACAGCTCTTATGACATGATAGAATGTTTTTTAGAACAGCAACCAGCCATCTGTGCAGCTTTGCTTTCTCCAGACGTCAGGAGGAGTGCAAAAGAAGTCTTCACATTAAATGAGTCTGACATCATGTGTGCAGAACAAGTTGTCAGGGCACTCAAACCGATGATGGACGCCACCTTGGTGATGTCAGAAGAGAGCGTGCCAACACTGTCTGTCATTGCTCCTCTTCATGCCAAGCTCATGATGGGTGCACAAGAAAGCCACGATGATACACCAACAGTTAGGGACATAAAGGCTGCCGTTGCAGAAGATCTGGGGAAAAGATATGCCAGTGAAAAGGAGACATTACACATGGCCTCAGCTGTTGGTCCTCGGTTTAAGGGCCTGCCCTTCCTGTCTGAAGCAGAGACCAGGAACTTCTATACCAGACTGTTGGAGGCAGTGGTTGGCATGATAAAAAAAATGTAAGTAAATAACTTATTGAATTTACTTAGAATAAATATTTACATATATAATGCAGATTAGTATGAGGTTTAACCCTAATATTTGCTTGATATTATGTTTTTCAGGTGGAGGAGGAGAATGTTGCAGAGGAGTTGTGCTTCCATCAGTCTGCCACCCCCGAAGAGACCAAGGACCTCATGTGCTTTGGTGGACTTGCTTGGAGCTACATTTCCCTCTACTAGTAGTGACAATACTAAACCAAAATCAGAAAATGAGCTTGCAGCAGGTGAGATCAAGAAATGTAGAGGTGAGGCCCCTTTGCCTCTCACAGAAAATCCTCTCAGTTGGTGGAAGAACCACGAACAAGTCTCTCCTCAGCTCTCCAAAATAGCCAAGAGTTTGCTATGCATTCCTGGCACAAGTGTCTCTGCAGAGAGAGTCTTCTCCTCTGCCGGTGACATAGTGACTGCACAGAGAAGCCTCCTGAAAGCTGGGCATGTAGACCGGCTTGTGTTCCTGCACAAGAATCTGGAGATTTAGAGCTCCAAGGAAACATATGTTCAGATCTGAAAATGTTAAAAGCACATACCGGTATTATTGTTCAACCAAAGAAGTACTTGTATTAATGTGGCCAGAAGAGTACATTTATTTTGTTCAGGTTGCACATATTCTTCCATTGGTCAAAATTGCAGTGCTGTACTTTACTTTAATGGCACTTTATCTCGTCAGTTCACTGTAAGAAGTTTTCAAGCACTTTATTTTTGTTTAGTGTTTTTTCATGTGACATCAAAAGTGCTGTTTTGGATGTTGCAAAGTTGGATATTAGAATCAAAAATACTGAATGTGAAATTAGGTTTACATTTTTTATTCATGTTAAAAATACTTGACATTTCACTGAAATGTGTTCGTGTTGGAGGGAATACCTTTTTAATTTATTTTTGATATGACCTCTTTGGATAAGGCAGAGATTATTAACTATTCATTAGTTGTTTCCTCCATTGAAATACAGATCCCTGAGTTTTGCTTCAAATACCTCATGTTAAGCATGCTAAGTATTAGTTGGACTGTTAATGGAATTTTCGGCTCAATCGTCTGGCTTTCAGTATCGCAATATATCGTATCGTCTCCCCTGTATCGTGATACGTATCGTATCGCCAGATTTTTACCAGTACACATCCCTAGTACTTATGCACAGATCTGTGCGTATTTTATCGCATCATGTGGTATTCACCATTATTTACTTGTGCATCAAAATGTTCCTAAATATAAGGACAGCTCTAACTAGGGTTGGACATCGAGCATCGATTGGAACCGGGACCAACTGTTAGTTTTTCCCAGAATCGTTCCAAGTTTTTTATTTCAATTCCTAGTTTCGATTCCAAGAATGTCAACCGGAAGAGGAATCCGCGGCCGATCTCCATGAAAAATGAACGTGATCTGTAAATTGTGATCAATGCTGTTCAGAGCTGATCACACCAGCTGTGTGTGTGCAGCACGAATCCCCCCTCACCCCACCCAAATATAAACAAACGTTTCTGCCAAACTTTTACTCCATTATGTAAACTTTAACTCCTGCAGCGTACAGGAAACGTGTTAAATACGTCAACATGGTGGATTTAATAGAAGCTTTAAAGAACAAACTCTGGACGGTGAGAGGTGAGTTTGTCTCACTGCAGAAATAAAAACACACACAGAGCGTCAGCAGTCAGACGCAGCCACTCACTAACACTCGTGGGTGTGTGTGTGAGAGCGTCAGAAGGCTGAACAATAACCTGTAGAATAATTAAAGTCATCATGCTAGAGCAGCTTCTCTGAGTTTTAATGTTTAAACCTGTTAGATTGTTACTGACAGCAGCTACATTTAAGTTTCACTTCCTGTTGTGACTGAACGCTGCTGCAGCACGGAGGTGTAGTTCTCAGTCATCCTGGACATGATCATCCTGAGAGTTTTAGATGAAGACAGCTGGACGTTTCTGGATATGTTGGAGACATTTAGCCTCTCATCCCAGAGGCTTCTTCCACACTTTGGTTGTGGTCAGAAACAAACACACTGGTGGTGCTGCAAGTCTTTTTCTTTTTTCTCCAAAACATGTTTGTGTCTACATGAAGGTGATGTTGTTGTTCATAGAGTTAAAATTCATGTTGAAGTTAAGATTATTTCATCCAGTAGGACCCGTGGTTAGCTGGCTCATGTAACACATGTCATGTCTTCAAAGAATTGGAATCAGGAATCGATAGGAACCGGAATCGAAATGAGGAATTGGAACCAGAATAGGAATCTTCCAAAATGAAACGATGCCCAACCCTAGCTCTAACCATGCATGTGGAAGAAAAGGGGAACCGCAACACTGAAGGTCTGTCATCCACGTGTGACATTTTTACCCAGTAAGTAATTATATCTGTGGAAAAACATCATAACTGGAGTAGAAACCTATAAGAGACTCCTGCGACTGACAGGATTTTATCATTGCTGCATGGCTGATCTTGTGTTATTGGAGGATTTAGCAGAGCATGCCATCCGGAGTGAATGTGTCCTCCGTGAGCACTCTGATCTGCTATGGTTAATTGTGGGTGTTTCTGTATGCAAATGATAAATGACCCGCACTTGTATAGCGCCTCTCAGAGTAAGGACTCCAAAGCGCTTTACACTTCAGTGTATCATTCATCCATTCACACACACATTTACACACTGGTGAGGATGAGCTACAATGTAGCTACAGCTGCCCTGGGGCGCACTGACAGAGGCGAGGCTGACGAGCACAGGCGCTACCGGTCCCTCCGACCACCACCAGCAGGCAAGGTGGGTTAAGTGTCTTGCCCAAGGACACAACAGCAGAATTCTCTGTCCGCAGCCGGGATCGAACCTGCAACCTTCCGATTACTAGACAACCCGCTCAACTTGTTGAGCTACTGCTGCCCAAATGGTGGTGAACGGACATGAGCACAGGCAGGATTTATCGTCATTCGCTTGTGGAGGAACATGCATACGAGTGGCTACCGCATGCTTCAGAAATCAGGATTTTGGCCGTTCATATGGACATCTATATTTCATTCGTAGGAAAGAATAGAGACAGTTTCTATGAACGTTTGATAAATGAAGCCCCAGATGCTGCCTTCCCCATCGTGAGCCCCGATGCAAGAGTCCATGGATGCTAATTTACAGTGTGACATAGATCTGAGCGGCTTTTCTAATCCTAGCTTTTCACAGTCTATTTTCTATCGGCGGCTACAGCCGTAAACGGGGTGGAGGAGCATTTTCACGTAGAGTGTTCACTTTAAACTCAGAGTGACCGATCATGTTTCAAAAATAATTACAAACGGTTTCTCAGTGGGTGGTTGTCTGGAGACATAAAAGCACGTCGCTAAAAGCTGCGTCATACAGCAGGTCAATAACAGCACATAACGGAAAAACAACAACACATTTAGCACTAAATAAAAATCAGCTTATTGGTGCTGCTATCATCTGGCCACTCAGAATCTCAACGGTTTCCATGACCACACGATGACCTTTGATGTGGTTATCTGAGGAACAGGGAGCGCCTGACTGAATAAATTAGGGTTAAATGACTTGTTGCTAGCTGAAACGGGATAGTTACAGCAGTCGTCTTCCAACAGACGGCTCTTATGGATATGCTCAGATAAACCCAGGAACTGGCCTTTTATTTAGGTAGGGAACTTTATGTTGATGGTGAAAACCTCACATTGTTTAAACCGAATCAGGGATCGTTAAATACGATTGGATCCGATGCAACAGTTCCACTAAAACGTTCTCCTGAAAAGCAAAGTCAGATTTTTCAGGATGAGCTAGTTTAGTTTTCAGGACCCGGCATTTCGTTTTTACGTTTTCTACTCTTCAGAAGCTCACGTGGTGTTTTATCATTTTAACCCCTGGAGTGCCGGGCTGACATGCAGCAATCTCAGAGAGGAAGTGGAGCCTGGAGGAGGCTGGTGAAAGGTGTGGAACACTGGAAAACCATGTTTTAATTATTATTTCTGATTATAATCGGTCACTCTGAGATTGTCATGCTGGCTGAACATGAAAATAGTCTCCTACACCCAACTCCTGCATTAGCTTCTGATAGAAAATAGACAGTCAAATTAGGATTAATAGAGCTGGACAGATCTGCGTCACACTGTCACTTAACATAACGTAATATTTGGACTTTTCTTGAAAATTCCTTAATCGGTCCCATTAATAGCCAATATCCCTGGGGGGTCAGGGACTGACAAACCCACAGTCAAACTAAAGAGATGCTTAATGGACTGGTGATGAAAATGAACCTTGATGTGCCTAACAGCCATCTTTAAAGCAGCCGTAAGAGCTGACACGCAGCACATACCAGGTGCTTTTAAGGTGTCTCTCGCTGACCTTCCAGCCTTTACTAAAATGAGAGCTATTATTTTCTTTGCTGTGTCAACAGAGATTTAATCCACCAGATTTTCCACACATTTCACAAACTCGGCACAGAGCCAAAGCGGCCTGACAGAGCAGTCTGTCATCACAAACTAGTGTACAGCAGCAGCAGCCTTTCCTCTGGTCTTTGTTCCGGAGCAACAGAAATAAAAAACAGAAAAAACGTCATCGGTTTTGCACTTCTAGACAGCTAAAGGTGTCAAAGATGCACCAGAAAAAGCTTTTTCTTCTCGACTGGCCACATCAAAATCCAGTCCAACTCCAATAAACTATACTGGTGGAAAAGAGCTGTCAAAGTTTCGCTGGCTGCATGAATTATTTAGCTTAAAAACAAAATGATTAGAACTTGTTAAATGATATTTTAAAAAACTAGTTTTCGGTGTAAATTCAACAGTAGTCGTTTAAAACCCAAGTAGGGTCTCAGTTTGAAGCTTTTCGTTGCATACCTTCTCTCTTCATGCCCATAGCCAGGCACTTCTGGTAGCGGCAGTACTGGCAGCGATTGCGCTGGCGTTTGTCGACCAGGCACTCTTTATTATCCCTGCAGGTGTAGCTCAGGTCTTTGCGTACAGTTCGTTTGAAGAAACCTTTGCAACCCTCGCAGCTGTACACCCCATAGTGTTTGCCTGGAAATCACACAAGTTAAACTTACGATGATGCTCTTGAACGTTGGGAAAAAGGTAAGTCCGACAAACGACAGGGGAAATCATGAAGAGAAAATGTTGTGCTTTTCTTAGGTAAATCACTCACCAGAGGAGCGGTCACCACAGATCACACACAGTCGTTTCTGGGACGTCATTACTCCCGGGCTCTGGGACTGCATGGGCCTGAGGCCAAATGGAGGCTTGATATCTTCTGAGCTGCTGACTGAATGCATCCCTGATATGGGTGCTGAAGAGGATATCTGGAAACACAAAGTGCAGTCAAATAAAACATGGGAATGCTGTCCTAACCACTAGGACTGCACAATTAATCAAATTTTAATCACAATTACAATCTGGGTTTAGAATGATTCAATAAACAAAGGAAGCTGATTATCTGCTCCTCCCTCCTGAGCTGCTGCAAGTTACAAATCAAGCACACCTCCCACAGTGTAGCCAACTTAACAACTTTGTTGCTATTTTAAAAACTTTTCAGACCCCCTTCCTGACCTTTTTTCCTAAAGACACACAGCACACAACCAGACAACATTTCGGAGGACCCTTAGTTACTTTCTGTACAACTTTGTTGATGATATTTACTGCAGGTTGGCAAAACGCCTGTGGATTGGTTGGGCAAACTCACATGACCCCTCCATTAACCCTAGAAAAGGTAAAGCGTTGGTCCACAGTTCCACGGCCAGGACAAAAACCACATTGCTCCTCCTCGATCTGAGATTCAACTATATGCCTGCTCTCTGGACCGTCCCTCTGGACATTAGGATGGGAATGATGTGTGCATGTGCAGCAGGACCACGTTACATAGACGGACCAATCATAACCCTTTCTCGGTGGACCTCACTCGCTATAAAGTTCTTTTACAAGCTAAACAAAATTAAATCATAGCGAGCCATGTCTGAAGTGACTCATAGTTTATCAGGGCTGCAAACTCTCGCAAGATGAGCGCGAGACAGGCATTCGACTGTCTCCACACGTTCTCATGCCACCCTTCCAATCTCTCTGTGCGTCCCGTTGCATCGTGCTACAGTACACACTCCCCTACGGCACCGCTGGAGAAGGCTACATAATTATTATGCAGCAGGTTTTAGAAGTTCACTACAACATAGGTGTTTATTTTTGTTTTTATATTATTTGTTGTCAAAATTTGCAGTGTTTGTTTTATTAAATTGGGTATGAAGTGAGTACGCTTAAATTAAGTTAAAATTCAGCCTATAGCCTTTTGGTCATAAACTATGAGCTAATAATGATCAGTAATTGTGTCTGTGGTCATCTTGTTTCTTTCTTTTCTTCATTTATTTTCCTCTGATTGTGTCCTCTGCAATTTTATGACATGAGTTTATTATGAGTAAATAAATAAATAAAACTCCACATTAATTAAATATCATCTTAAATAATAATGATCTCAATTTCTGTCAAAATGATCCTATTTATCATTTTTGCCATAATCGTGCAGCCCTACAGACCACCTTGGTTACACACAAGCACCGTGAGAACTGGAAGAAAAGCAGTGCATTTAACCATTAGTGTGCTTATGCCGCGTGGTTTAATCAGGAATTAGAACCCTCCAGTTGAGGGTTTATCTAGCAATGCAATAATTAAGTAGATCATTAAATAACCTGCATGCACTAATGTTTAGTAATTACCTGACTGCTGTTGATGGGTCCAAATCCCAGTGAGGGGGAGACCACTGGGGAGTTGAGAGAGGGGCTGATCACTGAAAATGGACAACTTAAGATGCTGCTGGGGCTGTTTGAGGCTGAACTATTAGGAGGCTGTGCGGACATGGCGTGTGAGCTGCCCACTGAAGATGATGATGATGATGATGATGTCCTGTCTGGGGGATATCAATCTGAGGACAGCACATGAGGGTGTTAGTAAACACTTAAACAGGGTATTTAAACAAAAGATGTGATTGTTTTAAGGACATTTTCCTTTAGAAAAGGATCCAATGTTGAGCATATACAATCTACCAAAAGGTTTTGCTGCCAAAATAATCCTCAGCCATTTTAGCTCAGAAGACCTGACTGCTCACAGCGATGAGTGAGACATGATATTGTTTTATTCATTCCTCGCGTTTTTTAAACTTACACCAGCAAAATGTCTGCTGCACAGAACACCTGGCTGCTAATCACCAAAACAATTCAGGTTGACTGGGCCACGTTTTCCGCAACATTGAACAAGAAACAATAAATGTTTTAATCCACACAAATATTTACTCAACGGGCTAAAAATGATATGGCCCGCAACATACGTTAGCGATCGCTCCAATCAAAACGTGCTAAACGGCACGAAATCTGAATAATATTGTCAAGTGTGTGGATGTAAAAGCCCGCGGCATTACATTTCTATTAGAACTAAGCAATATAAAGGTTAAACGCATCGTGGGCTGCTTGTTTCCTTTAGTTTTGGCAACGTTGAGTGTTTGCTAAAGGCTGCTAGAAATACGCAATAACATTATATTAACGCAGTCCTGTAAAACACGGTATTTCCGAGTGTCCGAACGACTAACGTGAAAGTAGTGCTTTAAGATCCATCCAAAACGTATAATGAACCCATTTCGGCTGCTTTTCCTAATGGCTACCTAGCTGCAAAAGCATGACTGCTCGCAAGTCCGTGACTAGCGTTAGCTTTGTCTATAGCTTGTCCGAGTATTTTTCTTTTACCCGTAAATGCAAATATAACCATGCACACACCCCGTTTGGAAAGTTAAAATACGATTAAAAAGTCAACAAACGGATGAAATAACTCGACCAAACTAGAGCATTTCTCCCTAAAAGGTTAGCGCGTTAGCTTCAATTAAGGGTAAGTTAGCTAATAAAGCTAACGTTAGCCGGATGCTCAGCGACAGCTCCAGAAAAGTCTTGTTGACAAATGTACCTAATGATTCTTTTGAGCTAGCACTTACCTACCATATGCACTTTCGACGCATCGCTAAAAATCACCTCATTTCATCGTTTTGTAATTAAAAAAAGCGCCAGAGAAGAGCCCGAGACGCGGATCAGTTTACTTCACTTTGACGCTGTTGTTGTTTACAGGCCATGTTGGCTCAGCGCCATTAACCAGCAGAGCCAAAATGTCTCACGGGACCACCCATAACAACGCTGCCATGTGACATCTATGATGTTTGGCAAATAATCTGCATTAAAAATCGAAACTAAATCCAACTTAACCCCATATATCGATCTATTTTAGGTTAGCTTTTCAAGTATAGTCCAGATCAAACACCATCAAAGAGCTGCAGGGTTACTGACGATTTACCACAAATAAAGTTCTTCTCCAAAGACTTGGGTGTGATGTGATAATGGTGTGGTGGATTACATTAGGTTGTAAAAAGCTTTACATTTAAAACAACCAGTGTTACTTTTGAGTACTCCACTCATGACAAACTATTTAATGTGAGCAATTTTCTGGGACAGCCACACCTACAATAAGAGCTGGAATGTTTTTTCTGCTTTTGACAGATGGAAGATATTGCACAACCTGTTCTTGCACCACGGATTAGGCTCAGTAGTTCTATTCCACAATCCAAGTGTCTGTTATTGTGTGATTGTTTTCCTACAGCTTTGGAAACACCTCCTTGTTTTAATAATGTAGTTTTAAATGAATGAGAACCCCTGTGAACTGACAAATGCTGTCTCTATTTTAAAACATTGTTGCTTTTAGCTGTTTTAGGCTGCACACTTTCTATAAATTCAATGACTCGTTTGCACATGAACACCGTGGAGTTATCTGATAATGACAGATGTGGGAGTTAATCTCAACAAAACTGAAAACCACACGAAGAACTTGACAAACAGCTTCCAGTGCCGAGAAATCTTCTTACTTTACTGGTGGCATTCTTAGCATCAACAACCCAGACTGCCAGAATGTTTCTGTTCGGAGCAGTGGATGGTTGTAACTTTGTACTAAACAAATCCATTTATTGGTAGTGTTAGGAATTTTTGTTAAGTTGTTTTTCTTCACTGCATGAATGAAAAGACTCATCATGAAATGGACTTCACTTCTATCTTTGGTTTGAGTCACAGTTTTGAAATACCCACATTTTTTAAATGCTACATTTTCCAGATGTTATGTGTGTAAATGTAAAACATAAAAACTCAAAGGGTCATTTTTGTCAACACAAACCTTAAAACAATGAAGCATTTTTGTTACTGTTATTTTCTCACTTTGTTTTTAATGTTTCTGTGTTTTTCCCAGCCTCACTGAAATCTGGTGGATTTTATTTAGTCAATGAGCAAAAGAAATACAGTGATGCAAAGAGCTACTGCAAACAGAAGTGCACAGATTTGGCAGCAATTCACAACTTAGCAGACACAAATGACTTGATCACTTTATTATCAAAAAGCCTGGATAGGACTGGAGTTTGGAAGTGAAATGGTTTGATCTGGTTTTGATCAAAGTACAAACTTTTTAAACTGGAAACCTGGAGGACCATAAATAAAGAGTGAAGAAGCATGTGCAGTAATGGATGAAAATGGGTTGTGGTCTGAACGTGACTGTTGAACTTCACCAGGCTTTGTCTGTCAAGGCAGGTAAATGTCACCAGTTAAGTATTTTAACCCATTAAATTTCCAGGTTTAATGATCACAAGGGGGTTTTGTCTCTTGGGCGGGACACTGGGGTTGAACTGCAGATGTGTGTAACCAGACGGCAACACAACATCTGTTCTTCAGGTAATACCAGTGTTCTCATCTTTGTAAATGAGCCCAAAACATGGAGGGAAGCTCAGAGTCACTGCTGGACCTTATCATCTGATCTAGTTAGCATTCACTCAGCTGTGGAGAACAAAGCAGTCTTTAATACGTCTGCACCTCGCAGCATATGGACTGGAATCTTTAGAGATCAATGGAAATGGTCAGATGGAAGAAACTCATCATTTCCTTTTTGGGGAAGCTCCAAACCGAGTCACATCCTAAAGCAAGACTGCGTTGCCTCTGCATCCAGTGATCAGGGAGGTGGAGCGATCGGAACAGCAACTATCCAAACAGTTTTATCTGTTTTGGTGAGAGCTTTTTTTCTGTTTTACAGATTGAGTGTGTTCCTTCTTATAGATTTCTTCTGTTTCTTTTTTGGTCACACTTAAATGTTTCTGCTCAACAAACACATCTGATTATCAGACAAAGATAACCTGAGCAAATAAGACAGAAGGTTTTAAATGATGACTCCAATGATTAAGAGCGTAGAGATAAGAAAAACATTCACATAAAAACTCCAGTTGGAGTGGGTGCAGGATCAAAGTGAATAACACAAAAACTGGAAGAAAATAAAGATCCACACACCAGTGACAATATTTCTTCAGGTGACAGGCCACTGCTCGTGGTCGGACTAACGTCCATAATTAAAACTTTGGCATATGGAGCTTGACTTGCAGAGGCGGTTTTACCATTAGGCATAGGTAGGCGGCCGCCTGGGGCCCCCTTGTGTTGGGGGGCCCCCTAGCCCTGACCGCCGGCACCCCTCTGTTAATGCCACAATATTCTTATTACCAACCTGTGGCCGCAGACGGGATTGGACATGCGCACTTCCCATTACCATAATTCCTGAACCGTTCAAGATATCATTAAAATTCCAAAGGTGCTGAAAAGATTAAAAATGGGGCTTTTCGTGCATATACAATACATTACGGTAGCCACCGGGATTCCCTGTCTTGAGCACAACGAATCACAACACAGATTCAGAGACGTGCTGAGTTTGTCATCTAAAATGCTCCGTTTTATAACTTTTGAATGGCTGATCAGATTCAAATAATTCCAACGGTTCCTAAAAGTACATAAAAGCAGCTTTCCAATGATCTATAGCATGAAGCAATCAGAGTTAGGGAAAATATCGCTACGAGGGGAAATCCTGCTGTACAGCCTGATTGAAACGGAGCGCAGCGCCGCGGTGAAAGCGGATAACAGAACGGGGGAAGCTAATTAGCATAAAAACCAGCATGAAATAATGGAAATGCCTCAAAGAAAATCAGCACGATCTATTAGGTGTCCCAGAAGGCTTATATCTGAAGACAGTGACCACGAAGAAGGACAGATTGTCATGATCGCAGGAAGCTTCCTGACCCACATGAAAGAATCACCACAAGGCAGGAGGTAAGAAAATATGAATTTGATTTTATTAAATGAAAAAATAATAATAACGAAGGACGCAGCTCCAAACGGGTGCTGGAAAAGCCAACGGGAACTAAGGGCGAACTTAGACGAAGCGGAAACCGGGTCGAGGTCTAAAAATAGAAACAAACACACGGAGGTTAAACCAGGAACGAGAGAACCAGAAACAATAGAGGGAAGGGAGGTCTTACGGAGCCAGAACAGTGGATGAATGTGGGGAGAGGGTAGGTCAGGTCTGGTTGATGGAGAATTAGGTTGAGGCTGGATGGATGCGGTTGATGAATATCCAGAGCAGGTGAACGGCGGAGAGCAGATGACCAGGGAAGAATGAGTGGCGAGGCTGAGGTACACACTCCAGGACAGAAGAGAACTCAGGCTGAGACTTGGTAGTAGAACTGGGGAAGGCAGGACAGGTAATTAAACAGGACAAGCAGAGCAAGATTGCAAAAATTGTACAATTTCAGGACAAGGCTGGAAGCTACCCAGGTGAGAGTATCAACCGGCGCTGGAGTGTGGACACGCCACTCCTTAAATCCCCTGGCCTTGCTGATGGGAAATCAGCAGCAGCTGAGGCTCTCCGACACGCCCACCTGCAATTAGACTCAGAGGGAAAAACAGCAGACTCATGACAGTACCCCCCCCCCCCTCAAGGGACGCCACCCGGCGGCCTAGCCGAGGAGGAGGAGGAGGAGGAGGAGGACTCAAAGTCCCGGATGAGGGAAACGTCGTCAATCCAGGAGCCGGGGACCCACTGGCGATGTTCCGGACCGTAACCCTCCCAGTCGACAAGGTACTGGCGACCACGACCCCGGGGGCGAACATCCAATATACGGCGGACCCGGTAACCAAGGCCACCATCCGCGAGCCGAACCGGAGGGGGAGGATCAGAAGGAGGACACAAGGGACTGGAGACAACGGGCTTGATGAGGGAAACATGGAACACGGGGTGAACCTTCATGGACGGAGGCAGGGACAGACGCACAGAGACAGGACTAAGGACATCGGAGACAGTGTAGGGACCAATGAATCGGGGCGTGAGCTTCCTGCTTGAGTCCTTGAGCCTGATGTCCCGGGCGGACAGCCAGACCTGCTGACCTGGGACATAGGACACTGCCGGACGTCTGTGTCGATCAGCGAGCCGACGATTGCGGTCAGCAGTACGCTGTAGGGCAGCACGGGTCAGGGTCCAGGTGCGTCGAGCTCTGCGGATGAACTGGGAAGCCGTGACTGGGGAACCAGAATCAGAGGGGAACAGAGGAGGCTGATAACCGAGTGAAATCTCAAAAGGGGACTGACCTGTAGCGGAGGATGTGTGTGAGTTGTGGGCATATTCCATCCACGACAGCTGAGAGCTCCATCCAGTGGGGTTAGAGGAACAGACGCACCGGAGCATGGCCCCCAGCTCCTGGTTCATCCTTTCACACTGCCCGTTCGTCTGGGGATGAAAGCCAGAGCTGAGGGCCACACGGGCTCCAAGCTCAGATGCAAACACGCGCCAAACACGGGACACAAACTGGGGGCCACGGTCGGACAATATTTCCGAGGGAATGCCATGAAGACGGAAAACATGGTCCACAAGAAGGTTGGCGGTCTCTGTGGAGGTAGGAAGGCCAAGTAGGGGAACCAGGTGGCAGGCCTTGGAGAATCTGTCTACTATTGTGAGGATGGTGGTGAAACCTTTGGAAGGAGGCAAACCAGTAACAAAATCTAAGGCGATATGGGACCAAGGACGTGAGGGGATAGGCAAAGGACAGAGAAGACCCTGAGGAGACTGATGATCATTCTTACTCCTGGCACAAACCTGACAGGCATTTATGTATTCTTTGACGTCTCTATAAAGAGATGGCCACCAAAACTTCCTGCGGATTAGAGCCAGGGTCCTGCCGATGCCAGGGTGGATGGAAAATCTGGCAGTGTGGGCCCAATGAATCACTGAACTGCGAACAGTGGAAGGAACATAGGTCATGTTAGGAGGTCCGGTACCTGGGTCGGGGTCTGTCCGTTGAGCCTCCAAAACCTTGTTCGTAATTTCCCAGAACACCGAACCAACGATGCAGGATG